AGGTAGTTAAAGATGCCATTTGAGTTGGATGGAACACATATAATAAGACAAACAGCAAAAAGCAAAATCATCAATTCAATATGCGGTTTTTTTTTGCAAAGTACATATAAATATATTATATATATATATTACTCCTCTTGAAATCTCAATATCTTTTTTTTTTTTTTGTGGCCAACATTGTGAAATCTCAATATCATGCTTATAATCCACTTGTCTTTGAAAATTCTCTCCAAAAGAGATTTGCACTCTGATAATGTCATCGTGACCTCAGACACTATTGTACGGCAACGAATGATAAAATTAAAAATAATTTTAATTAAATAATCATGGGATAATACGTACAAATACTAACGACCAAACAGAACAAGGCTCCAAAAGTTATATTAATACGAAACACTAAGCTGTTATCAACAAAATTCACATAAATTAAGAAAATTAATTAAGTTGGTCAATTATTAAAAAAAGAAAGTGTTCATTTCCTAAAATCCCCAATGACGGATGCACGTTGGACAAATTAGGAAAATATTACATAACAAGACCCAAAAGAAATTGTATGTACCCCTTAAAAAATTTCATTTGCTCCGTCATTTAAAAACAAAAAATTCACTTGTCCCCTTACAAAAATTTCATATAAAATTATCCTGACTATAATTATATAAATATTTTATAAAAATAAATATTTTTTAAATATAAATTATGCCCCCACTAGCTCTTTTTTTTTTGTTATCGGTCACTGAAAATACCCCTAATTTTATAAGCAAGATACATATATCTAACATTGTAAAGTACCACAACAACATATAGGAATAGTTTAGTGAAAACATGACAAATATAAGAGACAAAGTAGATTGAAGTACAAAATACTTCCTCTATCCTTAATATAACGTAAAATTTGGGATTTTTTCTTTAGTATAAAACAAAATTAGAGTAATTAATTTTATTTTTCAATTTCACTCTTGTTTATTTATCATGATTGGAATTCCCATACAATATTTATTATTATTATTATTATTAATGGTAAAGAATGGTAAAATTTAAAAGTTACATATGAGGACCATTTCTTAATAAGCCTAAAGTTGATTAAATTTGTCTCATGTTAAGGTTTAGAGGGAGTAAGAAATATTGAGATATCTTACATTTAAGATAAAAACAACTATTTAACTAACTATTCCCTCTAGTCCTATTTATAAAGTAAATAAATAATTTTTTTTATTTTATTTAAAAGTCACATTATTAAATGTCTGTTACAAATTTTTTCATTTACCTTTTATTAAATGTTGGTGAGAGAAAGTGTGTTTTTAAAATATGTATATTTAATAAAAATAAAGTTAAAAATTTATTAAATTTTTAAACAAAGTTAATAAATTTTAATATTTTCTTAGTTATAGATTTATGCTAAAACATGTTGAAAGCATGAACGGATAAAGGGGACATGCAAGGGTGTTGGCCCCCATACACAAATTTTCTTTGAAAATATTTTAATTTTCATTTGTAAAATATGTGAAAAATTAATTTTGGCCTCCCAGTTTCTTGTAATGTTTCATTTTTGGCCCCATATGTTTACTTTAAATTTATTTTAATTAAAAATAACTTATAAAGAAGATTATATGAATACATTCAAGACCAAAGGAGCATAATGACACACATACACAATTCTCGTAAAGTTGGTAGGGCTAATAATTATGTAAGAGGCGCCACCTTCTCAATCTGACATTACCATTTGAACTCAAACTCTCATATGACGTGGATCACTCGTCATATTTAGGCTTTAGCACGCTAAATTTATAAATCAATACATTTTATATATTAGTAGTATTAATATTATTTTTCTCTTTGTTATAGATATATATCCCACTTCTCATGGTGATCCATAATAATAGTGTCTGTTGAAAGCATGCAGTGTCATTTTTGTTATGAGTGGTACTTTTGGGACAGTTGAAAGCGAATGGGAGTGATGAATATTGATGATAATGCAGAGCTTCGGATTGAACTCATGATGAGTAGGGCCATTCCAAGACTAAGTCTTGGCCAATTATACCTACTCACCCTCCAAAAATCCACTCATGCTTTGTGTGTGTGTGAGAGAGAGAGTACAACTAAGCAGGTGTGGTACACAGCACTGATGGCTCAGTCAGTGTTTGTTGAATCTGGAGTCAATGAGCGTACCAAGTTTTCTTTCTTTTTTTTTTTTAATTTAAATACTTTGTTCGAGGCACAATAAGGTGCATTACTTGCCATTGGGTACTTTTGTTGGGGGCACAGGTGGGTGTATCAAGTCTTCTTACCTCGTGACCATCTGTACTGAAGGCTTGAAGTCACAGGATTTTACCAACGTTTGAAAATTCACACTTGTTTTGAAATAAATGAAATGAAGGGTTGAATTTTTTTCCCCTATTTGTAAGCACAAGGAGCAAACTCCTTGTGAGAAGAAATTATCTCCTCCAAAATACTGAAGGCCAACAACGAACTTCTCCCAACTAAGTTGTTATATACAAAAGAACTATGATCCAAACCACTAACTATTTGTTTATGTGATCAAAACTTTTACCATTCATGCAAGCTTTAATTGGTTCAAAGGATGATAATGTATTTCAATTGCAACCATATGAATAATTAGATTAAGGCACATGACATAGTAAATAGTAGAGCTATGAATTTTTTTAATATATATATATATATATATCATACCATCATTGGCAGTAACCCATTTGATTGAATCAACGATAACTATAGTGCTGCGTAGGACATTCATTGGAAGAGAGGATTTGTAGCATTCATTCAATCCGGATCCTTGTCTTTCTAGAAATTGTCATTGTCATCAAATATATGTATTAAGTTTGAAAACCTTAAAACCTGTGTTTAATTATTCTTCTACTTTATATTCTAATCACAACTTACTTATCTGCCAGTTGGCCCCATTTATTTCTTTTTGTATTTGCTACGCAATTATTTAAAAAAAAATTAAAGTGATGATCAAGTGATTTTTCCTCGCATCACTGCCTATAAATAACAAGCAATTATTGTTAATGCTGACAAAAATTCAAGTCAGCTAGGCAACCTAAAGATGTCCTATAACATTCTCATCATGTGTTTGCATTGAAGATAAGTATGAAGCAAAACCCCTCAAGGACAACTAATTGCTTTGCATGTTTAATTTGGGTCCTGAGGTTCCATTTCTGAGGTTGGCGAAGTTGATATTTTGGTCACTAACAAAAGTTGATATTTTGCATTGCAAATCAATTTTATTTCATCCCTACATATATGATGAAAGTTAAAAATTTAGAATACTGATATTTTGCATTAACCTTGCCAACTTCAAGGATTTTAAATTTTAGATGATCCTAATCTTTGAATGTTGCACGAGATTTCTATAATAAAAAATCTTATAATAATGGATCAAAGATAACATTTTCAAAAACATTTTCCTTCTTATACTTGGAATAATCATTTGGGTTTTGGATGGCTACTCTTGAATGGTTGTTTCTTTTTTTCTTTTTTTTCTTACTTGGAGGATTACAATAGAGGTGGTCACCAAGTCATGATTTATAGGGACCAAAGGTAACAAGGCATAATTACACTTTGCGTGACCTATCAACATATATCTACCAATCAAGTTGATAAGAATTTGATTCATAACCTATAAAATGTGAGATCAAATCTCGCTATTAATGGAGGACCTTGTAAGTGAGTAATTTGTAAATACATTTATAACGTTCTTTATGCCTGGAGCAATGCCATGACATTGATAAACTCTTAGAAACCAACTCACCTAAACTTTATATAAAAAAAAAACATAAATTCTAATGAGAGAAAATGATATTTAAGTAACAATTACAATTAAGGATACTAAAACAATGAAATTTTAAGAAAAAAAACCAAAATCCTTAGTAGGAAATTAAAATTGTGATCGAGTTTTTTCAATACTCATTTTCCATGATTTTAATTATGAAGAGAATTAAAATAATTATTTTTAGTACTGAAAACATGGAAAACAAGTATTGGAAACATCTAAAGTAACTACCAAAAAATTGAAACATAAGTATATGAAGAGCACAAACTTTGAAAATGTGTACTGAAACATGGAAGATGACCGTACAAAAGAAATTCAATGAAAAAAATTAATTGCAAATAAAAACTATATCTTTTTTTGAAATTTCATAATTTTAGAGTCCTTAATAATAACTAATATTCTTAGAAAGTTCTTAAATATCATTATTCATGAGCCATAAACATCACTCATTTTTGTCACTCAGCTCGCACTAGTTTAGGTAAACGGAGTTCAAATTGATAGGCCTTAGCAGAGTGAAACATTGAACCCTGTACCCTAACCTACCATAAAGGGGCTCATGTTCTTGTGTGAATCAGTGGTTACATTGAGTTCCACTGGTAGGAATGTCTCAAGATGAATCATTGGTTCAGGACATTGGGCAACAACCTGTCTGTCATGCACCATATGCACATGATGTTTTTTAACAAGCATTTTTTATTGGACAAGTTTGTGAATCAGTTGAGTGACACAAGATTTACGGATCAACTAACCCTTTAAGTACCATAATTCTGTTTATCTGATTAAAGCTTTATTCTGTACTAAATGTCATAGCCAAATGCTTGTTTTGAATCTGTTGTTCTTGCGACATCGAGGATGATCTACCCATTTGTAAGCATTCATCTACTAATTCCAAATGAAGATGCAGTTGCAAAATCAAATCTCAACTAACTCCATCCATATTAGATACGATTATCACAACAATAAACAAACCTTATCTCACTAAAAAAAAAGTTGGCTACATAAATTGCACGATACTATTATGCTCCATCAACAACCAAAGCCTTTGTATATATACAGAAAAAACGAAATGGGGGAAAAAGATTTAGGTAAGTGCCACTATACCCATTCTGATGCGTGCTCTTTGAGGAACTCCCACTTGCATTGAGGAAGCGAAGTGATGTGGCAGGCAGCAGATAAATGGGAAAATATTGCGTCAGAAAAAAGGATCATATTAAGTATAGACACTGACCTTCCATAAATTAAGTTCTGATACATATGATTCAAGGTATCTAGAAATGAAAATACACAGAATCCAAAATAAATACTAATAGACACTAAAACAAAAGATAAGATCTGGAAGCCCTTATTTTGTTCCACTAACTGATGTTAACCTGTTTCAGTGGTTCAACATAAGGATCGATCCACGCAGCTGCAGCAGTATGAAGCATCTCAGTACAACCAGTTTCCCAAATCTCTTTTCCTAAGGAGAATTTTCCATAAGCATGAACAGATGTCCCATGGACAGAAGTAGATTACTGTGCTCGATTTGTTTTATTCTCATTGGAAGACAGTAGAAATTGAAATTTCACTCCACAACAACATTCACCAGTTCATATTCGATCAAGGATAAGTTGTTATCCTCCTTAACGGTGAAGCTTGCAGGCTCTGCGACTTCAACACGGCCCCACTTGTCCACAGCAAGCCTCATGGATCCTCTGTACATGTCAATTTTAGCATTGCGCAGGGTAACAGTTGAACCTTCTTTCATCGTGTCCACTGAACAAGAGCAACAATGAAACATGCAATTTATCAAGAGGATTTCTCCTTTGCAAATCAACATTTAAAAATTACGAGTGCATGGCTTTGTTGAATCAAACAAATTTACAATTTAAACATGATCATGTACATGTATTATAAAATTCTCATTATATGAACCACTGTTGATGGTCAAGGACATTTATGATGATTAATAATAAGTAGGACATCATTGATGATTAGTAGTCATCTATTGTGTTATCTTATAGGATGTAAATATTGGGCTTGCTTGGATAGGGTCAACATTTCAAAAGATTTTGTCATTTATCATTCAAGGCTAGCCCAGGCCCGACTTAGCCAATTGGAAACAAGGTAGTTTTGACTTTACAACTACTGTTTATTGCTTTCTCTTTTGTTCTGTAGCTTTTAACCCATGCCCATATCTCACCAAAAGGTTTTCCACAATCATTTTATGCACTACTCCATCTTCATTAAAAAGAAAAAAGAAAACACACGCACATGCCCACAAAAGGGGGAAAATAAACCCACATCATAAGTCTTGGAGTGAAATTCCCTATTGAAGGGGAAAGAAACAACTTTGAACAATTTGGGTTACTTATTCAGATGTGTTCAAAAGGCACCAGATCCTAAATCTATGCCCAAAATGAGACCCGGCTGGTCATTGACTTATTGCATACCAGTACCAGTTTAATAGTTCTTTCCTGCATTGCTAGTTTGAGCCCATGAGCACCCATGACAGTTTCATGGTCCAATCCAGACTGTTACCCCTCCAGGCGACAGGCCGAACCCGCCAAACCAACCAGGCAGTTTGATCTAAAAACACTGCTTGCTGCTGATTTTATTTGAAGACAAATAAAAGAATAAAGAGATAAATAAAAATCAAATTTCATATGTCAACCAAGTAACCAAAAAAGTAAAATGTAAAATGATGGATTATTATTACCCAAAAATGAAAAGCACCTGATGGAGTCCAAACTTTCTTGCGGCTCCCCATGTAGGACTTCATCAATATCACAATTTGACTATTGCCAAAAAATTTAATTAACCAAGTTACCCCCCTTCTTATCTATTTCCTTTGTCTTACCGGTGGAACCCTAAAACATAATCATTGCAATGAATGATATAGAACAAATAGAAAATGGTGGATCAGCTTAAAGTCAGAAATCCATTATTGGCTCTTTCTGGACATACAAGTGGAAAACAATTGAAAGGAGAATTGACCAGGGAAAAGGGAAAAAAACAGCGAGAGGTTTCATTCAAATTCCCACAGCAAGCAACTTCCTTGCCTCAAAAAGGTGCCAGGGGAAAGCATCTAGTAGAAGGTGCCTTGACTGAGTCATGAAGAAGCAAGGATCCCAACTGGCACGTTGACTTGGTGCATTAGGCATGCCTTTGGATGCCATTAACTTCACTAGCGTTTGACCAATTATATCTTTTGATCCCAAATGACCTAAAATGATTGAAGCCTAGCAAACAAAAAAAAAAAGAGGCCAAAATTCCAAATATCACCGGCTTAGTACAACTATGAAGTCCAAGATCTTATGATCTACACTAATATTGGGATCTTTTTGAGATTCTATAAGGACTAAAATTTTCATAACATTAGGATCATAATTCGTAGGTTTGATTGGAATTGTAGGATCATTCGATCATATAGATCTAGACAACCATGGCTAAACCCACTAATCACTAGCGTTGCTGAAATCACACAATTTAGGATTCAAATCATGCAATTTATAATGATTCGCTCTTCCAGCAATACAGACCACTGGAATAATTGAAGTACCTAGTCGGTACAAGAATATCATAAAAATGTGTATGGATTACACTTTATTAACAACAAATTACTTTATAATAATGAACATTAGATATCAAATTAAAATCTGCAGACTATGCCTACAAAAAATACTTTTAGCAAGAAAACATAAGTCATCAATCTAAAATAAAAGAAGGCTCCTTCCTTCCTCCAGATAAATTCCAATAAATAAAATAAGCAGCATTGCAATAACACGCTGCAGTAAGGAAGACTTCAATAGGCAGGACCAAAAAATTAATACAATGTTATCTATACCTTGGTCATTTCTTGCAGTGAATATGATCATTCCTGTCTCATCACCCACCAAACATTCAGCAATTCGCATCTGACGAGGTTGAGGACCATCAGGACGACCCTTTTGTAGCACCATCTTAGTGCTAACCACCTTCACAGTTAAAGTGTGCCCACTTGTGCCCGGGCGAAGTTGGTCAACCTTGGTGAAGACTGGCTTCCTCAACCCTGGTTTTGCTTCTGCCATATTTTTCAACCTAAAAAAACCAAAATCAATTAAAAAAAACAAAAGAAAACAGGGGGACGCACAACCTTTGGAAGTGGAGGAAAATTAATCAAAAAGAGCAATTTCTTTAAACTAATTTGATCATTTCTAACTTGCTTTCCTTTCATGATTTGCTTGACTTTCTAAATCATTGAATGCATCATTGATCAAATGGTTAAGCTTATAATATTGCCTCTTTTTCATCCCATACTCCCTATTGTCATGCATCTAATTCTAAGAACAAGAAGTCATTATCATGGAAGTCAAGCAAGTGAAAGTAATCAACGAAGTTTAAAGAAATTCCCCTTCAAGTTGCAACATAACCCCATCCACATTGTCAAATGAAGCAAGATGGAAGCTAGGAGACCTTATAGCATCTAGCAACATTATCCACCCATAAATATTACATTCACGCCAACATAATCCACAAACTAATGAACTTAGACATCAAGAAAAAATTTCAATTATTTTTTTCAATGCAGCTGTCATGAGCATCAGGTTCCATATGATATAGGATACTTGAATCCAAGATTAGGAACTCCGTCCCCTTGGCCGAGAAAAATGATAGTTCATCCAGTCCTAATTTAAGACATGTTTTTCACGGTCCTTAATAAATCCCAATTACAAAAATGTTGATGAAGCATTTATGAATTTCGTTTCCAAATATACTCTTCTTTGGAAGTTGGATTTTTGAATTTATGTGTGGAAAAGAAAGCCCCCACACACCATTTAATACCTTTAATTAAAGGTAATTTAAAATGTTGTGATAATTTCTGAAAAAAGCAAGACCATCACCTAATTCTAACCACTTTTTAAATCTATATGATTAGGTTAAAAGTGTTTCCTATAAATAGGACCAAAAGGAGCGCAAAGACTGACAGAAGCAATTATGGAAACCCAATAATGTCTTCCTAATATATACTGGTAATGACGCATAGAGACTAAAACCATAAGAAATGTGGGACTTCGACACATACAGGACAAATAGAAATCCTTGTGCATTTTGGGGTGTCGTGTTGTGCTATGTCGCATATGTGTTAAACATTGACATAACTCCTTTTGGAAGCACCCATGCCTCATTATAGTTATAATACTTGCTTGGTCTGTTTTCTTCCTCACAAGTTCAGTCTAATGAAAATCCAACTTTAGTCATTATTATGGACATTGATGTCAAAGGCACTGGCCTAAGCAACTGAGGCATGAAGGTGAGTCGTATCTATGACTAATACCTCTATAACATGAGAGGCACCGCTTTCAATCAGTTGCAGTAACGTGAGTGCCAAAACTTTATCTATTGTACTTGTTTCAGGGGTGCCTTAGGTGTTCTACTTCTGTGCTTAAAAGCAACAAAGCTGTCAACTAATAAGCCTGCCCTAAAGTATACTAAAAATAATAACAAAATAAAATAAAAAATCACAAAACCCAACGTCCCAACTCCCACGCTAGGACCTCAATCTAGCTTCTAGCATTAGAGATTTAAGAGAATAAGATGATTATTTGGGCCGTTGTAGTAAACAAACACAAAAAATCAAAACTGTTAGGGACCTCAGCCTACACTATATCACACATGATCGGCTAAACAAAGAAGCTGATGATATAGGTTAACCATAGCCATACTATACTCATCGGTTACTTTAGGACCTTGCTTCACTCGGACGTGTGGCCTTTCTAACATCACTATTCTCTCGCTTAAGGCGTCTCAAAAATCCAGCGCCTAATGGACTTGTTCTCCTCTTGATATCATGATAAAATCACAAAAGAAGAAAAACAAAATCGAGATTGATGGAGTGAACTCGTACTCAACCTCCCAACTAGCCAATGGGGCCAAAAGTTTTCATGTTTCTAGGTAACTAGGAAAGCAACATGATTATCGAGAATCCAAACTCCACAGTTTTTTGCCCCGTTCCACCGAACTTATTAAAGAATCACTTTTGTTCTTTGGGGAAAAAACCACAGAAAAACATTTGGTACGCGAAATTCGTCTCATAACTTGAGCATAGATTAACGAATTCGTATACGAACTGTGATACCAGAAATCAAACAATTCTAAAGCAACAGAGCGACTAAAAACCAAATTATTTAAAATTGGAATTTGAACGGTAAAAACAGTGACGTAGCATATCAAGACCTGAAAGGAGAAAAAGTTAATGACCTCGGCGATGAAGAGCACGGAGTGAGAAACAAAAAAAATAATATGAAGAAGGCAATTTGTGAAGCTTGCAGGCGAATAAGTGTGAACCAAAAATGCGTCAGCAAGAAATCAAAGTCTGAAACTCACCTGATACTGCCGATGTGGAGACACTGTTGCCAAATCAAAATGGAAGAGGAGATCTGAACGCGAAAGTGAAAGTGCACAACGAAGCCGCCCAGGTCGTCGATTTTAAGGAGAGAAAAAGGCAGTGCCGCTTTTCACGGGTAGATTAGTAACCAGGTCCGACCCGCATCGATCTCTGTGTTGATAGTTGATATTTACAAATCACTTTTTTTTTTATGCGAATATAATATTAAATGATTAAAACCCCGCACTTTAGTAAAATTAAGTGTGAAAATAACAGTTATAAATTAATGATAATTAGATTTGATTAAATTTTTAAAAAAATAAGCTTCAATAGTGATTTAAATAATTATAATTTCATAAATTTAAATTAGAAATAAAATATATAAACTTTAAATGTAACTCATTGTGATTGGAATTCCTATTTTTAACTATTTAAATTGAATTTAGAATTCAATTTTTTTGTTTTCCAAAATCTAATTATCAATTAATATTGAAATATAATTTATTTTATAAAAAAATTATTTATAAAATTTAGAGCCATTTGATTCAGCTTATT